TTGTTTGACATGCATCGTCCTTCCATGTGCTCCTTGCTGTGAAGGTCAGTTATAGACTGTTGGCCATTTCTTGTACTGTTGACTTATTGGTGAGGGGGTGCACTGGACACCTTGGACACCCAGGGGGGAGGGAGGGGGGAGTAAACATAAAAAACTAAAATAATGTGGTTGCATAAGTGTGCACATCCTCTCATAACTGGGGATGTAGCTGTGTTCAAAATTAAGCAATCACATTCAAAATCATATTAACTAGGACTCAGTACACACCTGCCATCATTTAAAGTGCCTCTGATTAACCCCAAATAAAGTTCAGCTCTTCTAGAAGGTCTTTCCTGACATTTTCTTAGTTGCATCCTACAGCAAAAGCCATGATCCGCAGAGAGCTTCCAAAGCATCAAAGGATCACATTGTTAAAATTTATCAGTCAGGAGAAGGGTACAAAAGAATTTCCAAGGCATTAGTTATACCATGGAACACAGTGAAGACAGTTATCATCAAGTGGAGAAAATATGGCACAACAGTGACATTACCAAGAAGTGGATGTCCCTCCAAAATTGATGAAAAAAGAAAAGACAAGAAGAAAAACTAGTCTGGGAGGCTGGCAAAAGGCCTACAGCAACATTAAAGGAGCTGCAAGATATTCCGGCAAGTACTGGGTATGTGGTACACGTGACAACAATCTCCTGTATTCTTCATATATTCTACATTATAATATTATAATGTACAGCGCTGAGCAAACCGTTGGCGCTATATAAATACTGTATAATAATAATAATGTCTGGGCTATGGGGTAGAGTGGCAAGACAGAAGCCTTTTCTTATGAAGAAAAACATCCAAGCCCAGCTAAATTTAGCAAAAACACATGTGAAGTCTCCCAAAAGCATGTGTTATATTTTTAGTGAAAATATAATTTTAATAAGCATTTGTGCAAATATCGTGGGACCTAAAAAAAAAATCAATAGCACCTGAGCAGCATGCTTTCAGAAAATGTATGGTCGGAGGGATTTTAACAAACTTGGAAAGCTGTAAGTGAAAAGTAGAAAGCAAGGGAAACATTGCAGAAATGGTCTGGCTACCTCAATTTAAAACCAGAGCACAGGGTCTGGCAGTGAAAGGGTTAACCTTAATGGCTTTTTTTTTTTTTTTTTTTAGTGATGCGCTAACGCATGCGCATTTTCCCATGTTTTGTCATGTACTAATGTGTTGAGCCAAGGGAATTAATTCAAAATAAATGGGCTGTCAAAGCACCCTAATGTGCTAAAAATCACTCCCGACCCTTTTTTTGCAGCAGTTGCCCTACAGATATTTTGTCTTAATGTGTTGGGGTGCAATTCAAAATGAATGGCACAGTAATGCATGTTAAGTGCGTTATCACATTTTTCGGTATTTCAAGCAGTAATGCAATTGTTACCACAATGCAGAAATATATATAGGGCCCCAACAATTTTGTAAAAGTCAACTGGAAAGATAACTATATTGGAGATCAGCATGTAAAATCCACTGTACCAAAAGTACTACAGGGTAAGTACTGTATAAATAAATAAATGCTACAGAATGCTGAGCCTTTTTTCCTACCGTAGCCACTAGAGAGCAACCATTCCCCATTCTAAAAGAAGTCAGCCTGAATAGCGTGAAGGCTGTTATGCTCCCTTTACTTGCAGTCACGTGTCTTAGAAAATGTAAGGTCCATGACAGTTCTCACGCCACTGCACAGAACAATGATTCATCAGAACAAAACAGTTCAACAAGTAAAATGGTTTAAAAATATTACGATATTACATCCTCCCTAAAAATATCTGTATGTTACATAAATGTGCTTGCATAAAACCAAACTAATGCTTAGAAAACTATGGCACCCAATCAGATTTCAGCTTCCTGCATTTGAGCTGTAAGCTGGCGCACTTCAGATTTTTCTCTGTACGTTATTAACTATTCAGCTTGATTGTGGAATTTTCTTGACCAATCAGAAAGCAACATAACAATTATGAGTGCAACTAAATCTAAGAAAAATTAGTGAGCTGCTGACAATAAATATTTCAAATAATTATTTCAACATAAATATGAGTAAAAATCAAATTGATGTCATTTAAACCGCCACTAATATGCACTCACCAAAAAACAAAGCATAAAGAGCATATTAACCACTTCAATACTTTTACCCCTTTCCTGCCCGGACCAATTTTCAGGTTTCAGCGCTCTCACACTGTGAATGATAATTGCGCGGTCATGCAACACTATACCCAAACTGAAATTTTATCATTCTTTTCACAGAACTAGAGCTTTCTTTTGGTGGTATTTAATCACCACTGGGGTTTTTATTTTTTGCTAAATTAACAAAAGAAGACCAAAAAATTTTGAAAAAAAAAACCCGCGTTTTTCTTTGTTTCTGTTATAAAAGTTTGCAAATAAATAATTGTTCTTCATACATTTAGGTCAAGATGTATTCTACTACATTTCTAAACTCAAATTAGTATTTATTCTTTAGTTTGTAGGAAAGTTATAGAGTTCACAAACTATGGGATATATCTGAAAATTGATCAATCCTGAAGTACTGACAGCCAATCTAATTTCTTGAGGCTCAAGAATGTCAGAACAGTACAGATATCCCCCAAATGACCCCTTTTTGCAAAGTAGACAGTCTGACGTATTTCATAAGAGGCATGGTGAGTTTTTTGAAGTTGTAATTTTTTTGTCATAATTTTTTGGAAAATTAAGAAATTAAACAAATTATTTTCACAAAAATAATTTTTACATACTGTCACCAGTGCAATACCACGTCAGCATATAACTGGTGTAGTGGTGATCAGGGACACTGACTGGTGACAGTATGAAAAAAAAATGATAGTTTAAAAAAAAAAAAAATTTAAATCTTTTAATTTTTTTTTATTTTTTATTAAATTTGTTCGCTTTCATTAAGATTTTTTTTTCATATTGCACTATGACCAAAGTAGTATAATGTTACCATAGTAACATTGTACTTCTTTGGGGAATTGATCAGTATTTTTTTTTTTTACATAATTTGATTGCATATAGAAAAGAATTTCATTGCTATTAGCAAGCATTTAACTGAATGAAATCGATTCATTCAGGTTTATTTTGTTGTGATTAGCTGTGATTGACCACAACTAATCACAGGACACAGATGGGCTGTGATTGGCCCAGCCTGTGCTTGTGATCACTGTGACCATTCACAGCTAGACATACTTGTATACAATGGATGACATGAAAAGAAGCCATCCAATGTATACAACTGTCATGTGACCTGCTGTGATTGGTCACAGCAGGTCACATGGTACTGGCAACGGGGGCCGGTACACAGATCTGTCGTTGGCCGTGTCCGAGGTACACAGCCGATGACAGATCTTGCCACAGCGCGGCCTTGCGGGCATGTGCAAAGCACGATCCGGGATGGATGTCATATGACACCCTCCTGGAGGGACAAAGTGTTCTCCCGGCCGTCCTTTGACCATAGGCCAGGTGGCAAGTGGTTTAGGCACTCTAGCTGGCATAGAGATCCCTTGGTCACTGCTCAGATCTGGGCAGAATCGCTTTCAGGAACATGTCCAGGTGGAAAAATCACTCACCACACGGAGTCCAAGATGAAGTATATAGTGTAGTATTTTAATACATATCAATTAAAACCAACTCAAATACATCCACGTGGAAAAAAGAGCAAACCAAAGCAGCAGGACTTACAATGATGGTCGCCAATCTAAGAAGCAGACTAGGCAGCGTGACATCAGCATGTAGGCCCCCTACTGACGCGTTTTGTGCACACGCACTTTCTCAAAGGGATCCACCTCCTCAAGGACTTACATGTGCAGATTCCAAGTTTTTCCAAAGCTTAATTGAACAAGCTGAAGTTAGAAGCTCATTGGCTACCATGCACAGCTGCACCAGATTCTGAGTGCTCCAGTTTTAGTAAATCTACCCCAGTATATAGTCACAATTAATGTGTCATTCCACCCAAAAGTAATTTATAATTTTATTTTGAGCATTGGGCCTTATTCAGATCATACTATTTGCAGTATATAGTATGTCTTGTGTTACTGAACCATGAAATCTCAATTTATAGCATGGCTCATTTTGATTTTTACATTTTCTATGCGTTACTCTCCCTTTGCATATTTCAGCACCTCATACTGCATTTGCCATAATTTAAAACTTTTTAAAAATCCAAATGACGTAATGGGAACCCCCAGCACATGTGCAGACCAGGGAACTAAAGCACTGAGAGCCCACCAAGAGAGCCCCAGAAAGATATGAGATATTTTTAGGAGTGTTATCTGTGAAAGATAGTAGCTACCAATATACATGGCCCTGTAACTGTGTGATTGTGGATAAATAATTGTTCCTACACACAGTTGTGGACCTTGACTATCAAAAGCTTGTTTTTTCCACTTGCTGAATAGCTGGAAATTGTAATTAAAATCTGTATTTGTAGCTTCATTTCATCCTCAGCAGTCACTTTCTGAAATCTACAGGTTTACTGTGGGTTAAGTTCAATGAGGTACATGCCCCCTCATGGACTTATCTCTTTTATATACAACTGACAGATCTACAGAGTGCCAGGAGCACAGCTATCACTACACTCCCAGAGCTCTAATAGAAAAGATACATTTCTTTTACACAGCAGAAACTCGGCCTGTTCCTCACCTCTGCTGTCCATTCACAGAAGGCTTTGCATTTTACTCTCATAATACAAAGCACTCTGTGGTTGGGCAGGAGCAAGGAAGAGGTGGGCAGAGCAGCTACATGCAACTCTGCAGCTACTGGAGCTGAGACCAAAAGGTTCAGCTTTGAAGTGCTAGAGGTATAGTAATAGTTGTACCTCGGGTGCTTAGTAAAAATGTAAATTGTAAATTTACCGCCTCCCGTCCACCATATAAGGAAATGACAGACGAGAGGTGGTTCTCTTGTTCAAGGAGGACGACATACGTCCACTCTAACCTGGGACACAGCGGATCACTGATCAGCGGAAAGAGCCGATGACGTTGGCTCTGTCATGTGATCAGCTGTGTCCAATCACAGCTGATCGCATGTAAATAAGGAAATGCCGGTTATCGGCATTCCTCTCCTCATGAGCTGTCACGCTGACAGCTTGTGAGGAAAGAAGAGTCGGCAATCGGCATTACTCAGAGGGGATATGTACACTGATCCTCAGGGCACTGATGATCAGTGCCCTGATGATCAGTGTAGCCCCATCATTGCCACCTGTCAGTGCCCATCAATGCCACCTGCCAGTGCCCATCAGTGTCACATCAATGCCACATATCAGAACCTACCAGAGCACATCAATGCCACATATCAGTGCCCATCTGAGCTGCCTTTCAGTGCCAACTATCAATGCCAGTCAGTTCCGCCTATCAGTGCTGCCAAACAATGCCACCTATCAGTGCCAGTGCCAGTCAGTGCCGCCTATCAGTGCCAGTCAGTGCCGCCTATCAGTGCTGCCTATCAGTGCCAGTCAGTGTCGCCTATCAGTGCCAGTCAGTGCTGCCTATCAGTGCCACCTATCAGTGCCACCTATTAGTGCCATATATGAGTGCTGCTTTTCAGTGCCCATCAGTGATGCCTGTCAATGCCAATCAGTGCCACCTAGCAGTGCCTCCTCATTAGTGCCCATCAGTGTAGCCTATGAGTGCCCATCACTGCAGCCTAATTAGCGCACATCAGGGAAGGAGAAAAATCACTTATTTACTACATTTTATAACAGAAAGTAAGAAGAAATGGTTTTTTAAAAACATTTTCGGTTGTTTTTGGTTTGTTTAGCAAAAAATAAAAACCCCAGAGATGATTAAATATCACCAAATGAAAACTATATCTGTCTCAAAAAAAATTATAAAAATTTCATATGAGTACAATGTTGCATGACCGTGCAATTTTCATTCAAAGTGTGAGAGCGCTGAAAGCTGAAAATTGGCCTGGGCAGGAAGGGGGTAAAAGTGTCCTATAGGCAAGTGGTTAAAGAGGTAAGTTCATGAGATGACATACACCTTGTTGGACTTAACCCATAGTAATCTGGCATATTTTAGAAAGTGACTGTATTCCATTCAGTTCAACCAATACATTCACTGAAAACATTTATATTTCAGTACTAGAAAGACACAAGTGGGATTAATAACTCACCAGCTTCTTATGTCTCTTGAAAACGTCTGTGGCAAGATAAACTGTAGTTCACAGCTCCAGCCCACCATCACTACATGGGTGTTCCTCTCATAGCAATGAATTTATTTTACATTGTGGGAAATCCATCAGCTGAAAAATGACCACATTGTCACTTTATAACGCCCATGTGTTGGAAAGCAGGGTCAGAAAATCTGGCCTTTGGATCACCCAATAAAGAAAGAAGTTTATAGGTGATTCAACCCACTGATTTCTAACCAAAATATTCCCAGTTTGTGCTTGGTCATCTTGTAAGATTTTAGAAAATCAGTGACACCAGAGTGTCTTGCATAAAAGTGGAGACTATCACGCAATTTGTAACTGAGAGACAAAGAGGAATTATGTAAAATAGGAGGAAGTGTGCAGTTTTGCATAATAGCATGTTAGAACAAGAAAAAGGGATATGTAATATACATCTTTAACCACTTGATGATAGGCATGTTAAACCCCCTTCCTATCCAGGCCATTTTTCAGTTTGCAGCACTGTCATATTTTTGAATTATTAGGCCATGCAACATTGTACCCAAGTGAATTTTATAAAAAAATTTGAGACAGCTAGAGCTTTCTTTTGTGGTATTTAAAAGAGAAGTGTTGGAAAAAAAAATCATCATATTCACCTAGGTTAATGCAGCATCGCTCTGATGCTGCTGCATCTGTCCCCTGCCAGCTCTAAGTCCAAGAACTGAGTGAACAAACAGCGCTGATCGATCATTTCTCGATCTTCATTCTGTAGACTGGCTTTCTTCCCCACCTCTCTAGCGCTCAATGGAGTGTTGGGCTGTGGAGGGGGGTGGAAGAGGCTGGCTCAGGCTCTCAGTGGCACACTGCCAGTCCAGGCATCTGGGTGAATCCCATCTGTAAAGTTGGGATCTATCCTGAGCCAAGACCATCAATGATGTCAGCCGACACCAGGTTTTAGCTGTCAGCTGAAAATGGGTCACAAGGGTGCAGATCGAAGTGCACTGCTGTGACACATAGGAGAAGTATAGCCAAAAGAGCTTTGGCCAAACATCTCCTTTAAGGATAAGTTCACATTTTGATAAAAAAAATAATAAATGCACATATTTTTGCAGGTAAAAAAATTAGCATTTATTATTTTTTGCTGCAGGAGCCTGTAAAGCATTGCACCAGCAATCAGCAGACCTCTGGTGCTATGCAAGTCATGCAAGTTTCCTGCAGATCTGTCAGTATATCTGCTTGCCCGTACGGGATATATGAGCAAGCAGATATACTGACAGGAAAATACAATGAACTACCACAATGCTCCACAGCGCCATGGTAGTTAATTGAGAACTATAAGTTGACAGTTGCTAAGTCTGTTGGGACTTGTAGTTGCTCATTCACAGAAGAGTGACATGGCAGGGCAGGCGGAGCCCCGCTTGGCCACTTTTTTCTTAAATTTGACAGCTAGCAGGGGAGGGGGGGGGGGTCAGCAGGGAGTGGGGGCCCTTGCTTTCATAACATGTTACATGTTACCTCCTGGATATGGATATAACATGTAACATGTTATGAAAGGTGAACTTATCCTTTGATCACCACTGGATTTCATATTTTTTACTATAAAAAGGGAACACGTTTTATTTATATTCTGTTATAAAACCTTGCAAAAAACCTTGCAAAAAAACCCCAAACATTTCTTCCTAAATGTAATCCAAAATGTATTGTTACATTTCTTGGAAAGAAAAAATAAGAAACAGGTGTATTATTATTATCACGGATCATCTAAAGGCAGATAGGGTAGGAGCTCACCAGACATACTAGGGTAGGGAGTTCCAGAGGATGGGAGAGGTTCTGGAAATGTCCTGGAGGCAAACGTGGGAGGAGGTAACAAGGGAGCTAGAGAGCAAGACATTTTGGGAGGAGCAGAGAGAATGATTTGGGCAATATCTAGAAATTAATTTGGTGATATAGCTGGGGACAATGTTGTGGATGGCTTTGTACACTATGAATTTTATATGTTGGGCTAGTGGAAGCCAGTGAAGAGACTGGCAGAGCGGGGCAGCAGTCACGGATCAGATAGTAAGGTGCATTAGTCTAGCAGCAGCATTCATAATAGACTGAAGGGGGATAGCCTGTGTAAAGGTAGGTCAGTGGGGAGGGAGTTGCAGTAGTCAAGGTGGAAAATACCCAAGGAGTGAATAAGTTGTTTTGTAGTGTTGTTAGTCAGGAAGGGGCAAATTCTGGAATGTTGCAGAGGTTGAGATGGCAAGATTTAGCCAGTGATTGGATGTAGGGACTAAAGAGAGGTCAGAGTCTAGGATTACCCCTAGCCCCTGGCATGTATGGATGGACCAATGGTTTTGCTGCTGATCTAAATGGTAAAGTCATTGGGGGAGGGGGGGACTGAGGAGAAACATTACAAGCTCAGTTTTAGAAAGATTCAATTTAAGAAAGTGATGTGACATCCATACTGATATGTTGCTCAGTAAATTTGTGATATGTGAAGAGATCGAGGGGGTGAGTAGAGATGTAGATCTGGGTGTCATTGGTATAGAGGTGGTATTAGAAGCTGTGGGAGGTTATCAGTTGACCCAGGGAAAAGTGTAGAGAGAGAATAGTAAGGGTCCAAGGACAGGGCCTTGAAGTACCCCAACAGAAATTGGAAAGGGAATGGAGGAGATGGTGTTTTATGTGACACTGAAAGCGTACTGAAATAGGTGAGGGGAGAACCAGGAAAGAGCATGGAGGTCAAGGGAGTGGAGTTTATTGAGGAGGAGTGGGTGGTCAACTGTGTCAAAGGCAGCAGAAAGTTCTAAGAGTATGTGTATAGGGTAATGGCCGTAGGTTTTAGCAGTTAGTAGGTTGTTAGTGAGTTTTATTAGTGCAGTTTCAGTGGAATGTTGTGGGCAGAATCCAACTTTAGGGGATTATTGAGGTTGTTTTTGGTGAGGTAGTGACTCATACGGTTGTGAACAAGGCGTTCAAGAACTTGGAGGCAAACAGGAGCAGGGAGGCAGGTCTTAAGTTATTCATACAGCTGGGGTCCACTGAGGGTTTTTTAAGTATGGGGTAGCCAGTGCATGTTTGAGCAGGGAGGGAAAGGTGATGGAGGAGAGGGAGAGGTCAAAGATGTGGGTTAGAGAGTTTAGAATGGAGCAGGAAGGGGGTCGTAGTAATTGTGAGGGGACAGGTTGTGAGGTGGGTCTCGTAAAGGAGACTGGCAACTTCCTCAGTGGTAACAAGGTTGAAGAAGGAACATATTGAGTGTGGTGTTGGACCTGATGTGCTGGTAGGAAGAGAAGGCTGGACGCTGGATATCTCATCATGAATTATATCAATTTTGCTTTTGAAATGTCTGGCAATCTCCTGGACAGTAAGTTAGCTTGTGGGCGAAAGCGCTGGGGGGTGAAGTAAGGAGTTAAGTGTAGAAAAGAGTTGATGAGGATTGGATAAGAGGATTTTGATGAGAGTGGTGCAGAAGGTTTATTTAGCAGTGTGGAGGCAAGAGTTGAATTTGAGACAGGCAGATTTGTAAAGGGTGAAGTCTTGCAGGGATTTAGTTTTACACCATGTTCACTCAAGGTCAGGGCTGTGTTTCTGCAGACTTCTGGTGTCATCAGTTTGCCAGGGTTTTAGCAGGTGATGACTGGTTCTGCTTAAAGAGAGAGGAGTGAGTGTATTCAGAGAGGATGACAGTAAGTTGATGTAGACAGAAGTGGTCAGGTTTGGGCAGGACAGGGGTGCGATGTTATCTTAAAGACAGTCACTAGCAGAGTGAAGAAGGGAAGGGTTGAGGTGGCTAACGTTTCTGCGGGTAACTGTCTCCAGGTTGGAGGCATGGGAATTTAGGAGACAAGGAGAGTATGAAACTGATAAGGTTGTGATCAGAGAGAAAAAAGGGGTGCTAGAGAGATTGCAGGGAGTACAGAGAATACAAGGCTGAGAGTGTTGCCATTGAAGTGAGTGGTGTTTTGTGTCCATTGTGTTAGGTAAAAAGTGTTTAGTCTTTGTGAAAGATATAGAGTCTACAAACTATGGTATATGCAGTATGTGAAAACCTGATATACTGACTGCCTATATCATTTCTTGATAGTTAATTTATTTCTCACACACAGCATGGGCATACTTGCTATTACACCCCAAAACACATTCTTCTACTCCTCCCAAATATGGGGATACCACAGGCATGGCACTATTTTGCTACCTAGATGCATGGAGGGGTCCAAAAAAGGACCAGCTTCAGACATTTAAGGGGAATAAATGATGTATTTGATTTCCTGACTACCTATAATACTTCTTGAGGCCCTGGACAGGACAGGAAAGGCATCCACAGTGACCACATTTCGCAAAGTAGACCCTTTAACATATTTAATTAGAGGCATGGTAAGTCTTTTGAAGATCACTTTATGGAAAATGAAGAAATAAAAATGTATTTTTTTATCCACAGTTGTCAATTAATAAGATACCACATAGGTAAGTGTTTTTTGCAGCCTAGCCACATAATAGGCCCTAAAATCCAAGGAGCACCTTCTAGCTTTCAAGGGGAATAATTTAGGTATCTGATTTCCTGACTACCTATCCCTCTGGCTTTCAGCTGCTGCAGGGGTAGCAATTGGGGATCGGTTTCAGTAATTGCCCCCCCCCCCCCGTGCTGCATCGATCACCCCCTTGTCTACAGTTCCCTTCCCTCTGCTATCAGCTGCCCAGGCCCCCCTGTTAAACTGATGGAACCTGGGCCCCGCATAGAGGAGCTGGCTGTACCCCCTCATTATTCCTGAGAAAGGACTGTCCAGTATGACAGGTGCATGAAATAGGGGCAAGCACCATCAATTTCAGAGCAGTGACCTGAAGGAATTGTATCGGTTGCCTGCAATGCCCTCATAATTGGGAGTCAGAGGGAGAATTGTTGTGCTGCTGCCTATCACCATTAATTCCACATTGTGATTAACGCACACTGAAAGGAAAGCTCCCGCAGGTTTATCAGGGAAGACAAAACACAACGATTATAACTTATATTCAAAATTCAGTAACTTACTTGAGTGATTTATTAAAAGACACCGTCATCTTTCCTATGCAAGGCAAAACAGCAGAGTGTCTTTAAAACCGCTTCCCATCTGCCCTATAGCAGATATACTGCTACAGGGTGGCACTGGTGTGCAAAATCACTTATATCTACTTGATTTTGCATTTACGGGTAGCGGACACGCGCACGATTCGCCCTACCCGCACCGCCGTTTGTGTCCATGGCTGTCAATTACCGGGTCCCGGATGGTGATTACTCGCCAGCACCCGGTGATTGCCAAGGATCTCACAGCGCAGCACAGCCATGCAAAACAGTGTGCTTACAGTGAAGCACACAGACACAGCCCCATAGTAAAACACACCCAGTACACAGTTAACCCTTTGATCACCCCAGATGTTAACCCCTTTCCTGCCCAATGCCATTAGTACAGTGTCAGTGTTTTTTATCAGCACTGATCACTGTATTGGTGTCACCGGGGATGTCAGTGACACCAAGTCAGTTCCCCATAGTGTCAGAATGCCCGCTATAAGTCGCTGATCACCGCCATTGCTAGTAAAAAAAAATTTTAAAAAAATCCCAGTATATATACCGCCATTTGTAGACGCTATGACTTTCATGTAATCCAATTAATGTAGCAGTATACATTTTGGCTGAAATTTATGAAGAAATTAGATTTTAATTTTTTTTTACTGGACATCCGGCAAGTTTAATAGCAAAAGTCAAAAATAAAGGTTTTTTCTAAAAATTGCCAGTCTTTTTTTTTTTTATAGCGCAAAAAAATTAAAAACGCACAGGCAATAAGATACCATCAAAAGAAAGCTCAATTTGTGGGCAAAAAAGGACGTACATTTCATTTGGGTGCAGTGTTGCATGACCGCACAATTATTAGTTAAAGTAACACAGTGCTGTACTGCAACAAATGGCCTGGGGGGGGTAAATCCTCCGGAGGGCAAGTGGTTAAAGCTCATCTACAACATATTTATAATCATTTTCCTATCAATTCATTATATTACCATTATATTATTTCAGGTAATGTGCACGTAATTTTTCATACAGTGCCTTACCTAAGTACATGTGATAAAAATTAAATATGAGTCCCATAGTTGTGTGTGGACTGCCTGTTTGGATGGCAGCTTGGACTGCTAGATAGAATTGCTCTTGCTTCAATTGTTGATTGTGTTCTCAGCACATGCAGGAAGGATGGAGTCACGGTTTCCGTTTTCACCGAAGAATCAAAACACATAAAATCATGCCATCTGCTAACAGTACTCGATTAAAAAAAAAAAAAACATACATGATATTTATTGCTAAACTTTAAATACAGCATAGTGAAATCAGTCTCACAATACATTTACAGTATGTACTATATTTA